CACAATCACCGAAGGCGGCCACGAACAATCACCAACTCGTGCCGATCCTTCACCGCTGCTCCAACCGTCTAGGTGGTGGCAACCACCAAGAGAAACAAGCGAAATCCATGAATAAACACGAATACCAAGTGCCACTAGATGCAATCACTCAAGCAATGCACTTGGATTCTCTCCCAATCTCACAATGATGATGGATCAATGATGGAGATGAGTGGGAGGGCTTTGGCTAAGCTCACAAGGTTGCTATGTCAATGAAAATGTGCAAGAGTTGTCCATTGAGCCGGCCATGGGGCTATAAATAGAGCCCCCATCAAATAGAGCCGTTATACCCCTTCATTTGGGCAAAAGCGCGTTACGACCGGACGCCTCGGTCGGATCGACCGACGGCCGCTCTCGTCGGTCCGCTTGATGTCGACCACGTGTCCGAACTCAACGGTCATCACCTCGACCGGACGCTGCTCCTTGAGAATCGACCGGACGCTGAAGCCCCAGCGTCCGGTCGTTCAATAAAGCTCCCGAGGCGTATTTCTTCGACCGGACGCGTCCGTCCACCTTGACCGACGCAGACCAGCGTCCGGTGCTCAACCTTTCCTCTTGTGCCGCTGAAGTCAGCCTGACCGGACGCAGCGACGCGGCGTCCGGTGCTACGGATTCAAAGGTCCGGTCACAGGGACCGACGCCAAAGATCATTTCGACCAACTCCATTTCAACTCTAACTTCTTCACCCTTGCTCAAATGTGCCAACCACCAAGAATTTTGCATCCGGTGCAATAGAAAATAGACATTTCATTTTTCCAAAGCGTTAATCCGCCTCCACAAGCTTCGGCGGGAGGAGGGAGAGAGGGACCCAAACCCATCTCAACCACCAAACACCTTGTGCACATGTGTTAGCATATTTTCACAAATATTTTCAAGGGTGTTAGCACTCCACTAGATCCTAAATGCATATGCAATGAGTTAGAGCATCTAGTGGCACTTTGATAACCGCATTTCGATACGAGTTACACTCCTCTTAATAGTACGGCTATCTATCCTAAATGTGATCACACTCACTAAGTGTCTTGATCACTAAAACAAAATGGCTCCTATATTTTATACCTTTGCCTTGAGCCTTTTGTTTTTCTCTTTCTTCTTTTCCAAGTTCAAGCATTTGATCATCACCATGCTATCACCATTGTCATGATCTTCGTCATTGCTTCAACACTTGGAGTAGTGCTACCTATCTCATAAACATCTTGATAGACTAGGTTAGCACTTAGGGTTTCATCAATTAACCAAAACCAAACTAGAGCTTTCACGTGTGGCGGTGGCCCGCATGGGCATTGGGCAGGCCTGCAGGCTGCGGCTGCAGTGGCTCTGCCGCTCTGTTAATCATCGTTTGAAAACCAACTGCAAGGTAAGTTGATAATAAATTCCCCATTCTCGAATCTAAGATGTCTTTTTAAGTTGGACACTTCAGATCTCAAATTTCTGGATGATTAATTGATAAGATTGATTTTTGTAGAGCTGCACAATGAACAGGACCAAGACATTAAAGTCTTGCTTTTCTCCTGCACAAATGACTTCACCAGAAATTCAAAAAGACATATGTGGAGCTTGTGCGGAATCGGATGGGAGGTGATTGGTTCAATCATAGGATGATTCGTTATATTGAGCAGGATATCTTTGCAAGCATCAATGTTGAAGATATTCTATACCATTTCCAAGAATCAAAGTTTTGAGTCAAAAATTTACCTCCATTATCTCCAACTAGAGCAAGTGGTATGTTGCATTGATACATTCCATATTTCCATTCCTAATTTCCTAGTAATTCATAGTTTCCTACCATTTTTATTGTATATTCAAGCATGGAATTGATAACATCTAAACCTATGCATTTATGAGTTAGTTTTGTTATCTATCGGTATTAGATCTGGTGCGGGTGTTTTTTTTGGCCCGGTGTGGGCGGTATTACTGTATACGTGCTTTGATAGTGGCCCTAGGTGTCGAAATTGACGTGCTCCACCACTGATGTCACCTTCGCAGACTAGGAACCGGTTAATGTAGATTGATCCTTAACCTGCTCTGATACTAGTTGAAGGACAGAGAAAGACGACCGGATAGGGGGATGGGAGCCAATCAAAATTTATTCCAAAATGGCCACTATCCCAATCAATCCTCCAAAGATCCAAAATTCACACGAGTGATGCCCTCGAGCCAACAGGTGGTTGGATGTTCTTGGTGAGGTAACCATGAGCAACACCGAAACACTTCGAAACCCAAAAGACGAGCTCTCAACTTCAACCACAATGAAGCAAGAGCCCAAATCAAAATCGCCTAAACAAACTGGTGTTTTGATGACTTTCACTAGTACATAAAAACTTATGCGAGGCGTTTGAGAATGGGCCTCAGAGACAGGCAGGAATTTCAACCGCCTCGGTTAATGCCTGGGATTTACCATGGTGGTCGTTTTTTATTAACCGAGCTGGTCACAATAAACCGCCTCGTAAAATCAATTTACGGAGGCGGTTCCTAAAATCTATTAACGGAGGCCCGCCTCCAAAAATGCCTCCATTTTGGGAGGCGGGCCTCCTATATGGCCCGCCTCGAAAAAAGGCTAAGGCCCAACACAAGCCTAGGCGAGGTACGATAGGCGCGTTAGAATATAAATACGTCACTTAGGGTTTCGTTTCCTCACCTCCCACTATCATAATCCGTCCTCTCCCGATAGACCGCGCATGGGGCTTCTCTCCTTCTCTGCGCCGGTCTCCATCTCCCCTACCCGAGAGCGCTCCCTCCCTCTTAGTCTCCCCTCCATGAATGTGCTGCCTCCCTCTCCATTACCCTCTCCTTCTCCCCTCCCTAAGCGGCACCACCACCCTCCTCCTCTCCCCTGGCGGCGTGGCCTCGCACGGGCGTAGGCGTCCTGGTGGCGCATGTCCTGGTGATGGAGGTCTACTCCGATGGCACTCCGGCGGTGCATCTGGCAGGCACGAGCGAGGTGGCGGCGCTCCTCCACCGGCGTTGGGCGAGCGATGTGGTGCTCCTCCTCCACCTCAGCTCTGTCGCGCCCTCTCTCCTCTCTCCCTCCAGCGGCGCATGGCGAGCAGGCAGCTAGATCTAGCCAGCGGTGGCCGGATCCGGCGATCGGGGGGCGAGATCTTGCGAGCAGCGGCTGAATCTGGCGAGCAAGTGTCCTCCTCCAGAGAGCGGACGTGACCGTGGTGCAGATCCGGTGAGCAGAGCGGCAGCGCGTGGACGGGCTCGACGGGCCCGTGGATGGGCTCGCTGGGCTTGTCCACGGGCTTTCTTTCTTTTTTTGTTTTTTTATTTGATTAACCGAGGCGGGTGGCCAACAGCCTCCGTTAAGGCACGATTAAACATGACCTCTCGGCGGAGGTGGTTGGCAAAACCATCTCAGTTAAAGCTTCTTGGGAAACTCATAAACCCGATGGAAGAAGTGGATTGAAAAACAGACAACCAGAACACCTTGAAAAACCAAAAAAACCAAGTTTTCAGCCCAGAGTGTGGAGGTTCAGCACTTTGTGCGTGCAGAGGTCGGTGCGGAGGTTCCGCACTGATGGTTTCCAACAGCCCGAACGAAAGGCGAAAAAGGCAAAACTCGACCAAGGTGACTCCGATTGAGCTGAAAGTTTATACACACCTTCTCCAGGGAGTTACAAAGGTGTCCACAAAATTTGAGCTCCAAAAGATCAAAGCTTGAACATTAGCCCAACTTGCTCTCAAACTAGGGTGTTTTGTCAAATTTTCTTCCAAGTGGTGGATCTATGTGCTCTTGAGAAATATGCCCAAACCACTGGGCATAGATGTTCCTTAGTGGTCCTGTCACGAATCCATCCACTCAAAACATTGCCAAAATCGCAGGAACTCAAAATCCATCAAAGCGGAGAAGAGAAGGGGTAGGGAAAGTGAAAAACCAAATCGATTTCAACACAAGAACTTACCACGAATTTCATATGAAAGATTGCTTGATTTCACACTTAAGGTCAGGCTCTTTGTTAAGTTATACAGATGAAGGTTTACATAGACATAGGGACTCAGGCTCTCATCTATGGATCTCTCTCAAGACTCTAGACTAGAAAGCTGAAAACTAAAGACTAGAAAGCCTAAAGTTGGAGGGGCTGGTTTAACGCTATGGGCAAAATGTCCAACTTGAGATCCAATCATCCGACGGCCACGGGCTCTTCATGACTTTGATTCGCCTCGGCGCAAGCTTCGCGATGATACCACATACCTCCTCCCGTTCCTGCAAGAATTCCAACCGGGTTTAGAGGCCTAAACCCAAAAAACTACCCACCGGTGGGTTTGAGGGCTATAGAACTGCCTATAGAAGCGTATCCGCTACGCCTCCTCCACGATCTTAACTTGGTCAACATGGATAATACTCCTCCGCAAGTACTCTTACTCGTCGATGTCGACAAGTGTCGGCCACCCACGTTAGTCTTTCGGCCATCTTGGTCCCTCGGTCCAAGTCTCACGCCCGTCCTTCACCATTCCCAGTCTATCGTCACGGCATGTCTTAACTTGACCTTCTCCATGTCCGTCAACCGTCTTTGTGCTCCACACCAACTAAGCGAAAAGACATGTGGCACACGCACTCACACAATGGTTTGTCTCTAAACTCAATCAAAACATTGATCATCTCTCCTGACAATCACTCATCACAACTTGACACATAAAGGCAAATATCAACCTTGTATGTACAGCAACTCTGCCCGGACATTAACCCAAATAAGCCCTATCTGCCACACAGATACATTCTGACACAGAAATTTAAAATCGGACATCTAGAATCTAGATTCATGGTCACGCATCCATCCATACGGCCCCTATATCTCGTTTTCAAAATGCCGTGGGTAACACGCTTGGCGTACGATCTTTTTTTTTTTTTTTTTTTTTTTGTAAAGCACAATTGCGCACAATAGGCGTCGTGGACCTCGTATATATTACTCGTGCCCAGACCGCATTACAGCATGTAACAAATCCTTCAAAGTCAAGAAATGGCGGCAAGGTCATCCATGCTCGTTGTTGTGATCACCTTCCTCCTCGCCGCTCCTCCGGCCTTCTCGGAACGACGAGGCTTCCGTACCACCATGACCCGCACCGAGCTGGCCATCAACTTAACGCGGGTCGCGCACAAGTCCCACGAGCGGCTGTCCATGCCTCGCCGCCCGGCTTGACGCTGCCTCAGGGACTGCGCAGACCCCGCTCCAGCTTGACAGCGGTGGCGGCGCGTACGACATGACCTTGTCCATCGGCACGCCACCGCAGCAGCTGTCGGCCCTCGCGGACACCGGCAGCGACCTCATCTGGGCCAAGTGCGGCGCGTGCAAGGGGTGCGTGCCACAAGGCTCCCCTTCCTACTACCCAAACAAGTCGTCGTCTTTCTCCAAGCTGCCGTGCTCCAGCGGCCTCTGCAGCGACCTGACATCCCAGTGCAGCGCCGGTGGCGCCGAGTGCGACTACAAGTACTCGTACGGCCTTGCCAGTGATCCGCACCACTACACACAAGGTTACCTGGGGAGCGAGACCTTCACGCTCGGCAGCGACGCCGTGCCAGGCATCGGCTTCGGCTGCACCACCATGTCGGAGGGCGGGTACGGCTCGGGCTCCGGCCTCGTCAGCCTCGGCAGCGGGCCGCTGTCCCTCGTCTCGCAGCTCAAGGTCGGTGCCTTCTCCTACTGCCTCACCAGCGACGCCGCCAAGACGAACCCGCTCCTGTTCGGCTCCGGCGACTTGACGGGCGCCGGTGTCCAGTCGACGCCGCTCCTGCAGACATCCACCTACTACAGCGTGAACCTGTGGAGAGCATCTCAATCGGCGCCGCGACGACGGCCGGAACCGGAAGCAGCGGCATCATCTTCGACTCCGGCACCACGCTGACGTTCCTCGCGGAGCCGGCGTACACGCTGGCCAAGGCGGCCGTCCTGTCGCAGACGGCGAACCTCACCATGGCCCCCAGCAGGGACGGGTATGAGGTCTGCTTCCAGACGTCCGGCGCCGTCTTCCCGTCCATGGTGTTGCACTTCGACGGCGGCGACATATGGATCTGCCGACGGAGAACTACTTCGGGGCGGTGGACGACACCGTCAGCTCCTGGATCGTGCAGAAGTCGCCGAGCCTGTCCATTGTCGGAAACATCATGCAAATGAACTATCATATCCGGTACGATGTGGAGAAGTCGATGCTGTCCTTCGAACCAGCCAACTGCGACAGTTTATGAAGAATTGAGGAATACAACAACACTCGCCTCTCTCTGCTGGTCATTTCGTATACTCGTATATTAGCTAGCGCGTGTTGTATCACTGGATATACGTTTCCACGCAGGGCACGTACACGCATAATTAAATAGTACTCCTAGAATAAATCAGCTGCTTAGTACAGATTGAAAAACATGGCTTGGTGATATCAGAATGACACAAAGATTATATTCTGTAGGTATGGATCTTATTTTATATATTTTCTGGAGAATAACATCATCATGATCTAATGGTTTCAGAGAGTTGTTTGAAGCGGAAACACACCTCCCCTGCCCTAGCCTGGACTCGATATATTTGGGCCCTGTTTAGGTCTTAGCGGTGTTTCAGGCTTTTGCTTTTATGGTGTCACAGCGATCATAATTCGGGCCAATTAAGTTGCGGCTGAGGTAGGGCAAAGTGATCAAGGGCAAATTGGGCTTAAATGTCACTTCATCCATTCCAAATTGTGAGTCGATAGTGTTGCTGGGTTAAGCCACTACCCGACAGTGACGTTTACATATCACTGTCGGTTTTTATAAAAACTCGACAATATTTTTGTCGGTCATTGATCCATCTAACTATCGCATCAGTTATTCTTCAATGTTAAACCCACCTACCACCATTGTTCTAGATCTAGATTGTAAAAACGGTGTCCGAACGCCTTTACGATGAAAGATGAGGTTCGTCCTACTAGGCGATTTAGTTGCAAGTAGTGGTTGATCCAGCGCTAGGGCTGCATGGGGGGTAGGGGGGATGGGGCTCAGCGGTGGTAGGGGGCTCGATGCTGGACTCGACACGGAGGCCCTCCCCCTCCACAGGAGCGAGTACCTCTCGGCCCGGGACGCGAACGGCCACGGCACGCACACGGCGTCTACCGCGTCGGGCTCCGCCGTGGACGCAGCCAGCTTCCACGGCCTCGCGGCGGGCGTTGCGCGCGGCGGCGCGCCGCACGCCCGCATTGCCGTGTACAAATCACTCTGGCTCACAGAGGACGGCAATGGCCGTGGCAGCGAGGCGATGGTGCTCGCGGCAATCGATGACGCCATACACGACGGGGTGGACGTGCTGTCGCTAGCTGTCCCTTGGTGCCGTCGCCGATTCCCAGGACTCGTTCGCCGCCCTGCATGCGGTTCAGAAGGGGATCACCGTCGTGTTCGCCGGCGGGAACAACTGTCCGAGGCCTCAGTCCGTTGCGAATAATGCTCCGTGGGTCATCACCGTGGCCGCGAGTACGATTGATGATCGCTCGTTTCCAACGGTCATCACGCTGGGAGACAAGCAGCGGATAGCGGTGGGTATACTATACATTATACAACGGAATACAAATACACTAGCTACACGCTCTGATGAACAATTAATCCCACTAGTCTTGCATGACTTTGACTTGTATAGAATTATTAAGTGATGATTACTCAATTTTGCAGGGACAATCTCTGTACTACCAAGAGAAGAACTCAACCGGGAGCAGTTTCAGAGGCCTTGCCGTTGCAGGCCTGTACGCTCAGCAACCCACAAATTTCACTTTATTTAGTTTCACCCTGCTGTAAGTTTTGCTACACCCTACATCTACATCACACACGTCTTGAAGCTGCTGAGCAGTTAATTTTTGCCTTGTTTGGTTAGCTGCACAGCGGAAGCTCTGAATGGTACGGATTTGAAAGGCAAGACTGCATTATGCTTTCAAACACAATTCCAAAACGCGATGCGAAACGTCCTTGCTGCCGGGGGCTCGGGTCTTATTTTCGCTCAATATGCCGCCAATTCTCTAGATGTCACAGCTAACTGTGGAGGAATTGCTTGTGTTCTTGTGGACATTGACACTGGGAACTGGCTGGATTCTAAAATACATGAGAGCCGCGAGGTACACTGTGCATCTTGTTGATTATTATAAGCTTCTTCTTTTTAAAATGGATCGCAGCTGCTTCCTCTCTCGCATGAATTCCTGATTAATCGCTTTAACTTAATTTTAACAAGCAGCTCTCCGGTGGCAAAGATTGGACCAGCACGTAGCGTTGCAGGTAAAGGGTTACTGGCTCCCAAAGTCGCAGCCTTCTCCTCCAGAGGTCCATCCATCGACTACGCTGATGTTATCAAGGTATACCAAGGCAGTATGCACTACTTCAAGCCATGACAAACCATGCATATATGTATTTAACTCCACTACTGTTTCTTCCTCAACAGCCTGACATAGCTGCACCTGGAGCTAGCATCTTAGCAGCAATGAGAGACTCCTATAAGTTTGACACAGGGACATCAATGGCTGCTCCACACGTATCAGGCATAGTTGCACTGCTGAAATCTCTGCACCCAGACTGGTCTCCTGCTGGCGCTCAAATCTGCTATTGTCACCACTGGTAAATATGTTAGCACAACAATTAATCTACCATTAATTTACACAGATTACGAAAGCATGAATAGTTTACTATAGGCAGCAACACTACAATTGCCTTACCTCTGTTTCTTTTTGCATTGTGAAGCATCTGTGACTGACGAACACGGCATGCCCATACTGGCTGAAGGGTTGCCTAGGAAGATTGCTGACCCATTTGACTATGGAGGTGGCCACATCAACCCTAACAGAGCAGCAGATCCTGGCCTGATTTATGACATCGATCCAATCGATTACGACCAATTCTTTCGCTGCAGTATCGACACATCCGTTAGCTGTAATGCAACATCGGTGCCAGGGTATCTCTTGAACCTGCCATCCGTCTTGGTTCCAAATCTGAGGTATCCAGTTACCGTGCCGAGAACTATCACAAATGTTGGTGAGGTCGATGCAGTTTACCACGTCGTTGCGGTTGAGAGCCCTGCAGGAGTCGAGATCGAAGTTGAGCCGTCGGTTCTTGTGTTCAATGCTGCAAACAAGGTTCACACATTTCGGATCAAGTTATCACCTATGTGGAGGTTACAAGGGGATTACACATTTGGCAGCCTTACGTGGTACAATGATCATAGGACAGTGCGCATTCCAGTTGCAGCCCGGATCACGATTCATGATTTCTTTGCAGATGTTTGGTAAGAATGTTAGATTGATCTCTAATTACAAACTGGACCCAACGGCTTAGTTGAGCCTTTGATCCACGCCCTGATCGGGGGCGCCCAGCCCACTATGGCTGGAGGGCCCACTAGTAGAGAAACGACTTTTGATCCACTTCGAAATTTGGTTTTAGTCCCGGTATTTTTCGCGCCCGAGACTAGAGAAACCTTTAGTCCCGGCCAACGACTACTGCGATAGGCTTTTGCTACAGGGGACCTTTAGTCCCGGTTGGAGCTACCAACCGGGACTAAAGGTTAACTTTTACTCCCGGTTAGTCCCTCCAACCGGGAGTAAAAGTCTACTCCCGGCTTTAAAGCAATGTCCCCATCCCCAGTCCCCTCTCTCTCTCGCATCGGCATCCCACTTCCCACCCATCTGCTTCCGTCTCTGCCATCCCACCGCAGTCATCCGCCTGACCCCGTGCCGCCCTCAGCCCATGGAGAAGTACCCCGCCCCTCCCGCTGCACGAAGCCGACCCCGCGGCCGTCGCGCGCATGCTCGCCAAGATGGTGAAGCCGAAGAAGGTCGGCGTCATGGTCAAGGAGGGTGGGGGCACCGAGGTGTTCATCGTCGAGAAGCCCATCCACGGCAGGGAGCAGGTTCTTTCAGCGCCGGTCACCCGCTTCGCGGCTCTCGTGAGGGAGGAGGAGGAGGCGGCGGCTGAGGAGGCTCCACAGGCCGTCGACGGCGTGGCCCCGTAGGAGGAAAAAGCAAGCCGTCGGTGGTGTGACTAGTTATCTTCATATGCTACTACTAGTATTATAGTATCATCTGCTGAGTTTTATGGTATCTCTACCAGTACTGTCATGTTAGGGTGGATGGATCTGAGTTTGTATGGTGATTGATCTATCCTTTGTCATCTAAGTTCGTGTATGGTGACTGTTATGTTAGTATCTGTCGTCTTTGCCTACTATCCGTATGTTGATGATGATTCTGGATGAACTGCATGCGTTTGATTTGTGGCTCTATATCTTTGATTCTGCGTTTATATTTCATCATCCATTCAAGTCCGTAAGTTTAGTTGCTCTATTGAATTTCGTTGGATGGACTTAATTGGATGTGCATCCGTATTGCCAGGTCTAGTGTTGTTCCGATCTGGACCTTTAGTCCCGGGCGAGAAACCGGGACTAAAGGAGGGGCCCTTTAGCCCCGGTTGGTATTACCAACCGGGACTAAAGGTGGACCTTTAGTCCCGGGCGAGAAACCGGGACTAAAGGAGGGGTCGTTTACACCCAGATTCGTGCTCCCGGTTGGAAAACCGGGACTGAAGAGGTTTCCCAACCGGGGGTACAGCTTGTTTCTGTACTAGTGGCCCCTGTCACACTGCGCAATATATAGAGGTGGGGGCCGGCGGCTCTGAGTACGAGGTTCGCCTAAGCCGAGCTCACCACCGAAACCTAAACCCTAATCCCGATTAGAGAGGGGCGCAGCCAGTGACGGGAAGCCACCAGCCGCGCTGCCCCGCTCCACCGACGTCGATGACTTCATTGACCTCTTCCCCGAACGTCACTGCCCGTGCGCAGACTTCACCGACGAACGAGATGGCGGCTTCTGGACCATCTCCCTCTGCGGTGTCAGGTTTGACACGTTCTTCTTCTATTCCTCTCTGTCCCTCTACTCTCGATATCGCATTCACAGTAAAGAGAGCCCGCTAGACCTAACCCTAGATGATCTTTTTGATCCTAACAATGGTACCAGAGCCAAGGTTCTAGTGTGTAGATCTAGTATGTGGTAGAGAATTGAAAAGAAACCGAAGAGTAACAGAGGATTCGATCCGGTTTGGATTGAAACTCTAACCCTAATAAGGGGAAGAAATCATAAAGAGGGTTCGATTCGGCCGATTTGGATCGACCCAATAACAAAACCCTAACCCTAACCGGGGAAGGGGTAGAAGCATCGGGGAAGATGAACAGCTAACCCTAACCCTAACCCTAGCGAGAAAAGTGGGAGAAGGAAGGGACCTACCGGTTTTCCCTTACCGCCGGCCGTCGTTGACGCCGAGCGGGAAGATAAACCGCGCCGCTTCGCCGTCGTGCCGGAAGACCGGCCGAGCAAAGGGCTCGCCGGTGCTTCTGACATTCCATGTGCGGGCGCAAGGGCACCGTAGCACAACCCTTCGACGGCGGCGCGCTCACTCTCGGGTGAACGCGTGCACCGGCGAAGGGACGCACGACGGCGTCGCCATCTGCTCCGGCCGCCGCGGGCGGCCGCTGCTCCTCCGTCACTCAGCTATGACGCTAAGGAAGAGAAGGGGAAAGGGAAGAGGAAGGAAGAGGAAGGAAGGAGAGCCAGACTTGGTCCGATGGCTGTCTTCGTCACCGGCGCCGACGGCCACCATGGCCGCCGCCGCTGACGCCGGCTCGGCGTGAGAGAGCGAAGAGAGAGAAGCAGAGAGTGATGAATGAAATTAGGGTTTGGGGAGTGGCGCCAGCCGGTGTTTTTGTCCCGCCGAAACGGCCGGACAGCCGTCCGATGCAAATGAGCGGCCGAGATCGACTGGACCAAATAGAGCCCAGGCGAGAAATGGAAATCCCGGCCCAGGCCCAGGTTGTGGCCTGGGCGTGGGGAGGCACCGCGCGCGCTGCTGTGCTTTGCTGGGCCACGCGCTGCTATGCGTTGCTAGGCCGCGTGCTGTTGTGCGTTGCTGGGCCACGCGCGAGCGCCTGAAGGATCGGGCCAGAATGAACAGATTTCAATTTTATTTAATATTTTAGAAGCAGATTTCAATGAATTTTGTCTAGTTTAATATCTCTGTTAAAATTTGAACCAACGCGATAATTTTTCAGAGAATAGTTGAGAAAAGTTTAATGCTTCTGAAGATACATAATTTTTTACGTTTTCTGTTGCTAAAGAAATTGTTTATTCTCTAGTTATTTTGAACCAACGTGATATTTAATTGGGGAAAAAGAGATTTCGACATGATTATGATGTTGTTATTTTCTGACCAACGTTGTTAATAATAATATCGTAATTTTAATGATTTTATGCATTATTTTTATTTCTCCCCAACGGTGATGTAGATTTAATATATAAACAGTTGTATGTTTTAATTTTGACCAATGTTGGAATCAAGGCATGCAATTGTTGTTATTATTTATGTTCTCACTCTATATGAATTGTGTTTTCAGACGGATACAACTTGATGGGTTGTATCAAAGAGATCCCCACTCTCAAAGGTGACAACTACACGGAGTGGAAGAAAAAGATTGACCCGGCCTTCATCTTGGCTGAGGTGGACTGGGTAGTCACCTCACCGTGTCTCACTGAGCCTGTGGCACCGATGAGGGAGACAAATGAGACTGATGCCACTTGGGCAACTAGAGAGAGAGATTTTAAATCCCAAAAGATATCCTATGACCTTGAGCATAGGAAGTGGGTCACTGCCAACAAGAAATGTTTGGCTGTGATAAAGAACACGATTGAGCCTGCAATTGTGGGCTCAATCCCAGAGTGTGACACGGTCACCAAGTACCTCTATAGAATAAAGAGTCAGTTCACTGGCTCTTCAAAGACATATGCTACCCAGCTGATAAAGCAGCTGGTGACAGAGAGGTACTCTGGAAATGGTGGCATAAGAGAGCAGATACTAAGGATGAGCAATTTGGCATCCAAGCTAAAACCAATGGATCTGGCTCTCAAGGAAGAGTTCATTATCCATCTGATTTTTGCTTCCTTGCCAAAAGAATTTGACACATTTGTTGTCAACTACAACATATAGCCCGAGAAGTGGGACTTAGAGAGGCTCATGGCTATGTGTGTGCAAGAGGAGGAGAGAATGAAAGCTGCCAATGGTGGCACTATCAATTATGTGAAAGACAACAACAAAAAGAATAATAATGCTAACTCCTCCTCAAAGTCAAAGGGAAAGGGTCCCATGCTGCATCAGCCTCAGCAGAACAAGTTCACAGTAGAGAAAGACCAATGTCTCTATTGCAAGAAGACAAGACATTATAAGAAAGATTGCCCCGATTACTTAAAGATGATAATGGCAAAGAAAGGTGAGAACATTATTACATTCATAAATGAATCCCTGTATGTACAGTATTCGAAATCTACTTGGTGGATTGACTCAGGTGCAACTGTTCATGTTGCTAATTCCTTACAGGGATTCTGTTCGACGAGGACTACACAAAGAAGAGAAAGACACGTTAAAGATGCAAATAGAGTCCGAGCAGATGTTGAAGCCATTGGCGATCTTTCTCTAGAGCTTGCTGATGGCTTCACACTTTTACTTAGAGATGTACTTTATGTTCTCTCTTTACAGAGAAACTTGATTAGTGTTTTATGTTTGGACAATGATGGATATGATTGCCATTTTGGAAATGGCAAATGTAAGATAACATTTAATAATGCATGTGTTGGTCTTGCTATCTTACAAAATGAGCTTTATTTGTTATCACTACGTGATGATGTGAATGTTGTATGCGATGATAGGAACGTTGCGTGCGACAATGAGAATGTATCCTCGTCTACAGATGTAAATAGAAAACGAAAGAGAGCTCACGATGCGACATCAAAATTATGGCACTGTCGTTTAGGCCATATTTCGAGGGGGGAATAGAAAGACTAGTTAAGAATGATATTCTTCCTCCATTAGAGTTCTCAGTTTTAGAACAATGCAGAGAATGCATAAAACAAAAGTATGTAAAGAAAATTAAGAAAGATGCCAAACGAAGCGTAGGAATTTTATAGATTATTCACACAGACATATGTGGTCCGTTTCCTGTAAAGAGTGTGGATGGTTATGATTCGTTCATAACATTCATAGATGATTACTCCCGTTATGGTTACATTTATCCAATCAAAGAAAGAATAGAAGCATTGGATAAATTTAAGATATTTAAGGTAGAAGTTGAATACCAACACAATTTAAAGATTAAGATACTTAGGTCTGACCGTGGGGGGAGTACTACAGTCGGCATACCCCATATGGCCAAGTTCCTGGACCTATTGCAAGGTTCTTACAGGAGAATGGCATAGTAGCCTAGTATTCTACACCGGGCGAACCTCAGCAGATTGGAGTAGCTGAAAGATGCAATCATACCCTGATGGATATGGTGCGTAGTATGATAAGTTACGCCACCTTACCGTTGAGCCTGTGGATGGAGGCGTTAAAAATCGCCATTCATATTTTCAATAGAGTACCAAGTAAGTCGGTGCCCAAAACACCGTATGAGTTGTGGACAGGAAGTGTACCCTCACTAAACCACTTACGTGTGTGGGGGAGTCCTGCTGAGGCTAAAGTATTTAACCCAAACATTGGGAAGCTAGATCCCAAAACAGTAAGTTGCCATTTCATTGGCTACCCAGAAAAGTCAAAAGGTTTTTGTTTCTACTGTCCAGACAAACATACAAAGTTTGTGGAAACAAGACACGCTGCCTTCGTAGAGGATGAAATGATGAGGGGGAGCATGGTAGCTTGAGAAATTGACCTTGAAGAGAAGCGGGTGTATGCGCCCACTCCGATGATTCATGAGCCATTTTTCTCACTACCTGTTGTCGCTGCACCGACAGTGCAAGATAGTGTGGTGCCAGCACCTATTGTTATTCTGCCTATGTCAACAATGACGATGAGGAACCTGTTCTTCAGGATCCTGTAGAACCTATTACCACACATGAGGGGAAGCAACAATAGCCTCAAACAGAAGATGTGCCAAATGTGGAGGCCCCTAGAAGGTCTCAAAGAGTAAGAAAATCAGCT